CCGGCAGCCGCCCCGCCAGCGCAGCAGCCAGCGGGGGGTCCACGTTGAAGAGGCGGCAGAGGGCGGATAGCCGGGAGCGCAGGACGGGGGGCGGGGTGGCGAGCAGGGAGGGCTGCGAGGAGACCAGCGAGCGGGCTAGGGGAGCCGGGATGGAAAGGAGGGTCTGGAGGGAAGAGAGAGGAGGAGGGAGGGAGGGACGGGAGAAGATTAAGCAGCGTAACAGTGGGCAGACATGGGTCGGGGAGCAGCTGCTAGGACCAGAACCTATCACATTGGCCCCCTCCAAAACCCTCTCACGCCCCAATGCGCCCCAGAAAGCAGCCCTTCAACCACCAACCACCCAACCGCCAACCCACCTGCAGCTCCCCGAACCGCTCCCGCAGCTCCCCGGGGGCCACCAGCAGCACCCGTGGCTGCCGTACCACCACCGCACCCGCAGCCTCCAATCGCCGCCGGGCTACAGCCTCGTCAGCAGCGCTGCTACTGCCTAGGCCTAGCAGCTCGCGCAGGGTTTCAAAGGACGCGGCGGCTGACCCATGGGTCAGTCGGCCCAACTGTCGCTCCGAGGCCATGATGGACTTGGCCTGGGCGGTGGAGATGTGCAGCAGGGAGGCTAGGTCCGCGGCCTGTTAGTGGGGCAGCGGGGAGGGTGCTGGTGGCGGTTATACCGGTATCTCGCTTACAGTAGTGTGGGGTCATGGACTGAAGGAAGGAGAGGGGCGCAAGGTGCATTGCCTACTGCTCACGCGTGCGCCACCGCAACGGCTTTGAGCAGCGCGTTGCTGCAGATTCCGGTACCCGCAGGTACAGCGAACAGCGTGCGGCATATAAGGAGGGTAAAAAGGAGGGCGGTGGCAGCACCCACCTTTAGGCGCGCATTGGGATTGGGAGGCGGGCGTGTTGCCACAGCACCGCCCTTACCCTCCCTGCCCCCCGCTGCTGCTGCTGCTGCCCGCGCCGCTGCCGCTGTTACCGCCTGCGAGCCGCCGCCCGCCGCCAGCTCCTCCGAAACCTCCCGCATGGCCGCCACGTCAGGAGTTGAAAACTGCTGGTGCAGCCGCTCCACCTTGTCGTGCACGTTGCCAGCGCTGCTGCTGCTGCTTGACGAAGAGCCAGCATGGGGCTCAGCTGCAGCCGAAGCGGCAGGCGAAGCGCTAGCTGCAAGGATAATGGTTTGGATTGAGTCCAAAGTCGGGCCTCGGATTGGGGTCGAGGTGTGGGTTGGCGGGTTGAGGGAGGGGTCCGTGGATGTCAGCATTAGCGGGGCAAAGGAGCCCTGCAGCACACACGCTGATGCGGCGGTTGCGAGTGTTGCACGCCATGCGGTGTGGAGGATGCTCCAGGCAGGATGGGGAGCGCAGGCGGCGAGTGAGCTGGAGTCAATGGAGCATGGATGGCTTATGCCATGTGGTCGAGGAGCTTCGGAGCTCGCCCGCCCGCTGAAGCTTGCCTCCGCACGGTCTGCGTATATATTACACAGCTTATCAGAAGAGCGTCTAAGAGCTACGAGGGCGCCGTGCAAGAGACACTACCTGCCGACGCTCCGACTGTGTCAGGAAGAGCGCGAACCCATCCCGCATTATTGCCCTTGATGTGCTGGGGTGCTAGCGTTCTGTCTATGCGATGCAGGATATGCCGTCGGCAGCTTTGGTTGTCAGGAATCGCCGCCGAGCCATGTCGACTGAGTGGAAGACTCTGTCGCATTATCTAAATGTTCCAAGCAATCCTGCTCTGATGTTTTCAATTGTATTAACGTGAATTGTAGGTATGCTTTGTAATGCTAATTCCCCCGATCGCACTGCGCGTCTACGGAGCTATTGGATCCCATCCTGGAAACAAGTAGGCTTCAAGCCGTAGACGCTGCTTTCATAGCAACGTTATTGTTCATCCATGCAAGGCGGTTATGCAACGAAAGATAGCCCTAAGCCTAACATCGATAGGTAGTTGGGGCTCCGCGCACACTACCATCGGAGCCTCGCTGGCTGGTATGGAACTAACCACACACTGCAATTTATTTAACCTGACCGTAAAAAGTGGCAGTCGATGCTTTTACTTGCGGTCGCCTGACTTCACCGTTGGCTCGCATGGTCCGCGCAACCTCCATATGCTGCTATATTCACATATGCCATACAACCCTCGTACCGCAAACCTTAGTAGCCGACATAGTTCGGTGCAGCTGAGCGCCACCCGGTCAGGGTCGTCGAGGCATTCGCCACACGCAACGTCGGCAGGACGCTCCGAGCATGGCTCACAAAGGCGCGGGGACCCAAAGCCCTCGTCATGGGCCAGCGACAGCAGCCCCACTTCAGCCCAGCGACGCGACCCGCTGCTGCGCCAGCGGGAGCCGCAATCCCTGCCCTCATCGCAGCGAACAGCAGGCCGCGGTCGAATGGAGGACCAGTCGCGTCTTAAAGAGAAAGCAGCGGCACCGGCAGCAGCCACCAAGATAGCACCGGCGGATGAAGAGGAGGATGAGGAGGAGCAGTACTTGCGGGAGCGACGGGAGGGATCCAGAGCCGCGGGGCCGGGACCTGAGCTCCAAGGACCAGGGCTGCCCGAGGTACGACATGAACAACGCCCTCACATCATCATTCCCCGCCCACACCCTGCTCCATCCCGCCCCTGCCCCCCGCCATCACCTCACAACCCCCCCGCCATCGCCTCCCGGCCTTCTATCCCCATTGCTTTGCCCGACCTCATGGTTTCCTATGGACCTTTGGTGTGGTCTCTGACCTCCCCTCCTCGCCCAGGTTGACTTCATCTCCAGCGCCTCCAACGCCTACGTGAAGCACCTGGTGCGGCTGCGCACCTGCGCCTCCCACCGCCGCGACACCCGCCGTGTGCTGCTGGTGGGGCAGGAGCTGATAGCGGAGGCGGCGGCAGCGGTGGCAGGTGAGGGGGCGGGGGCAAAAAAGAAATTCCAATGGTGTGATAATGGTACAAATTGCGGGGGCGGGGGCGGGGGTGGGGTAGCCGTTCTACTAACTGCCCGACTAGGGCACGCATGGTCCGAGCCAGGACCGCCCCCTCCTGAACCGCTGACGGGTCCCCGGCCCGGCCCCGGCCCTCTCCTCTCCCCCTCCTGTTGGCATCCCTGCACACTCCCCACTGCCCCACGTCACAGCTTGCTTTCCTCCTGATCTCCTCATCCCCAGGGTCTGGCGCTGCTGGCAGTAACGGCGGTAGCCCCGCCCGGCACCTGGGCGCCCGCGTGCTGCTGCTGCCGGCGGAGGCGGAGCCGGAGCCGGAGGCCGGCCCGGGGTCCGCTTCAGCTGCTGCTCCTGCAGGGCTGGCTGCCCGCCGTGTGGTCCGGGTGACGGAAGCGGTGATGAAGAAGGTGAGCGGGGTGGAGAACGCGCGCGGCGTGACGGCGGTGGCGGAGCTGGACCTGCCGCCAGAGCGGAGCCTGGCGGAGCTGCTGGCGGAGGCAGCGACGGTGGCGGAGGCGGCGACACCAACCTCCTCTTCTACTGTACCAAACGACTCACAACAACACCAGCCGTCAACCCAGTCACGTCAACGACCGCCGCAAACATCACAACCGCAACCTTCCTCACCCTCACCTCCGCCACCCGTACGACTACTTGTCCTGGACGGCGTGCAGGACCCGGGCAACCTGGGCACCCTGGTCCGCACCGCGCTGGCGTTCGGCTGGCAGGGGGTGTTCCTGCTGCCCGGCTGCTGCGACCCCTTCAACGACAAGGCCCTGCGCGCCAGCCGGGGGGCGCTGCTGCGGCTGCCGCTGGCGGCCGGCAGCCTGGAGGAGCTGCAGCAGGCGGCGGGGGAGGCGGGGCTGCTGCTGCTGAGCGCGGACATGGAGGAGGAGGAGGCGGGGAAGGAGGAGGTTGGGAGCGTGGAGGGTGAGGGCAGCGGGTTAGCAGCTGGCGTGCGGGGTAGCAGTAGTAGGCCGGTAGGGCTACTGGAGGCAGGGGGCTTGATGGCGTTGTTGGGGGGAGGAGGGGATGGCGGCGGCTGCAATCAGAGCAAGGAGGCTGCTGCTGACGAGGACGGTGGGGGTGCTGGGATGAGTGCTGCTGCTGCTGAGGGTACGGCCGAGGGTACGGCAGCAGCAGCCGTACCCCCGTGCGGAGGTGTGGCCCTGGTGCTAGGCAGCGAGGGCAGCGGGCTGTCCCCCGGTGTACGGCAGTTGTGTACCCGGGTTGCCGTACCCATGGAGGGGTGCATGGAGTCGCTCAATGTGGCGGTGGCGGGGGCGGTCCTCATGTTCGCGCTCAGCAGCGGGCCGCCGCGATTGTACGGCAGCCTAGCCGCCAAGCTGACTCAGGCTGTACGGCAGCGGTGACACCCAGGGCAGCCTAGACAAGCCGCTGACTAGGGCGCTGAAGTAAGAGTAGCAGCATAGATGGTGCAAACGTTCCGGAAAGGGTGTAGGCCTGTTAATTGGTACCCTATGCGATACCGCTGGACGTCTTGCCAGACGCGAAGAATTGCTGGTTGCAGGGCTGGTGCGCAGCATCACCAGCAGAAGGGGAGGTAATTATGGATTATCTGTTGATTGTATACGTCTGCTGAGCTTATACGTCGGCATAGTTGATGACGCTGCTGCGTGTTCCAAACAGGGAGGCGAAGTACGGCTTTCGAAGCGCTTGTGTTTAATCCGCTCTTGTCACATTGGTCTCCTTTCCTTCAGCCAGCAGCTTTCGTAGGTTACAACTAGACTCTCTGCCTACAACTGCCTACCCAGGCTCATAAAACAAACCGCTGAAATTCTTGGTAGACTCTACACAGATTGCGTCATCAATAGGCTGTTTGCGGCTTACCAAGTCTGACCACAGTCCACCTCCTCAGCAGTTAAAAGCCCTATCATGCTCCTTACCTCCAGCCTTTGCGCTTCAAAGTATGCTAGCCGCAGCATTTCGGGAGCCCGCCGTTCATCAGTTTGCTGCATCAGCAACAACAACAGAAATTATATTGCCGCAACTTCAACTGGCATAAGCATCCAACGCGGCCGCCGGGCAAGCCGTATCCCAGTTCGATCTGCTTCGCCAGATGCCCACGATGCCCCTCGCGGTGACGACTCGGAAGCGATGGGAGCGGACAACTTCACCGTGGTTCCGGAAACCAAATTCTCTGAGGGCATGAATAGCGGTAACAAAAGCAGTCTCGGCCAGCGTTCGGGTGACCCGCGGGTCGGTTTCGACGACTCGGAAGCCATGGGCGCCGACAATTTTGGGACTACTACGAGCGGCGGCGGCGGCAGCGCGGCGGACACAGAGCGCGCTGGAAATACGGCGGTGGGTGATGGTGGCGGTGGGATACGTCAGGTTGGGAAGGATTGGAAAGAGTGTGGTAGTCGCTTACAGATTTGAGAGGGACAAACAGCAGCATCTTACCTTGATTCTTGCCACCTCTTCTTGCTCTTCTTCCGACTGGTCTCACCGCAGCTTCCCTCCCTGCGCATGTGTATGCAGGGCGGTACGCCCCCCTACACCCCCTCGGCGGCCCCCCAGGCTCCTGCCGAGGACTCCATGAGCCGCCAGGAGATAGAGCCGGCGCCCTCCTCCCTGGAGCAGGCGGCAACCGGCGGCACCACCGCTAGCGGCGGCGGCAGCGGCGGCGGTGGGGTCAACACCGGCGGCGGCGGCAGCAGCGCCGCCGTCACAGGCGACGAGCTGGCGGCGGCGGAGCGGGCAAGCGGCCGCTCCGCCGCCGCTGCCGGCATGCAGGGCGGCCACTTCGTCATTCGTACACGTTCCTCCGAGGCCGGTCGCGGCGCCGCCAGGGAGGCAGCTCCAGCGCACGAGGGGTACGACAGCGGCAGGCCGTCGCGGGGAGCTGCTCGTGATGCAGGCGACGCGCCGGATCTATCGCGCCTGGATGCCGCCACCGCTGCGGGGGTGGCGGATGCGCTGGCACTGCTGGATGCCGACCAGCCGGAGGACCTGGAGGAGCTGGAGCGGGAGGAGGAGGTGGAGGGGGTGGTGATGGCGGGGTCGGGGCCGGATGAGGCGGACGAGCGGCACGTGGGGCCGTTGGTGCCCGGAGTGCCGGAGGTAGGGAGCGGGGCGGGAGGGGGGAGGGTCAAAGACCATACTAAACCATAGGGAGGAGGGGGGTGAAGGAGGATGGTGGGGTTTGGGATGCGGCAGGGCGAATTGGAGGAGGAAGGATCATCACGGCTGGTTCAGGGGTCACGTGGGGTTTGCGGCGAGCAGCGCTGCGCAGCTCATGCCAGTTGCAGAGCCGGATTGCGAAGCCGCAGTGCTCCTTTCCGGATTACTTCCCCTTCTTTCCCTCCTTTCCCTTCAGGCGCGGTTCTGGTCGGGCGATGTGGACAGGGCCGACAGCTCCTGCTTCGGCACCCACCACGTGGGCGGGGAGCACGGCTGCACGGGGACGCGGTAGGACCCAGCAGCAGCAGCAGCAGCAGCAGCAGGAGGCCCAGCAGCAGCAGGAGGCCCAGCAGGACTGCAGGGGGGGCTTGGCGGCAAGGACAACGTGGGTGTGCTGGTGGGGTGCCCCATGCTGCGGGAGCAAGAGGGGTGGGGTGTTGCTGTGGGAGACGAACCTGTGGAAGGTGGAAGGGTTGACGGGAAGGACTCGACAGGGGCGTTTAGCTGTCAGGCATAGGGCCCAGGCGCAAGACATGCCGAAAAAGACGGGAGGTTAGGAGGCGCGGGAAGATTGGTGCGACCCACGGGTCTCCTTGGGGGGAAGAACTTGGCTCCGGAACACGCCTTGCCGTTGATTGTGCCGTTGATTGCGTACACTTGTGCAGAATCATGGAGGCGGTGAGCGGTGTTGTGTGTTGGATGCGACTGCTTGGGCATTGCCTGTATGTTCACGAGGCTTTGGAACTCGGATACTTAGTTGCTGTACGGCAAAAGGAGGTACGGTACGAGTTGGTTATGTTGGTAAAAGCGCATTGCAAGGCTTGTGTTGGCTTGTAAGCTGATGGCCAGAAGACGCTGCGTTTTGGACTTGCCTCGTGCGTACACAGGCGTGGTCCATTAGAGGAAGTCCTTTCCAGGTTACGTTGCCTCGCCTTGCCATGCCTTGCCTTGCCTTGCCTTTTAGTGGTGGTCCTCCGTCATGTCGTCTGTCACACGATTTCAAGACGCCAGCTAGAGATAAGGCAGCCTGCATGCCGTGTATTTTCAGGCGCCCCCTGCACCCCGACCGGAGCTCTGCCTTAAACCTCCATTAGAAAGGTCGGGCATATCGCCCGTCTCTGTCAGATTAAAATATGGATCAATGAATAACTCTGCCGCGTTCGTGGTCCTTCAAAAAACTCCCAATTGGAGTCCAGCTCTGCCTTGGTACGTGCACTTTGCCGTACATTCTCACTTGCCTGCACCGGTAGCACAGATCGCAAAGGTTAAACAATAAAGTTGGGATGTCGTGAAAAACTTGTAGTGGCCCAGCTTTTGACTTTGGAGGCTGCGCGCGGACGTTGAACGTTGACGACACGCCGCCCAGCTACATTAACCTACAACCTGCAAAGGCAATTGCAATAAAACATATGTGAAAAGCGGTTACTTGTGTGGCCTGCAGAAGCTACGACGGGTGCTGACAGGCGACTTAATTAGATGCGTGTAATTTCTATATAACGCTAGGAACCTGGGTGGCTATACGCCTTTCGAATTAATCAGCGTCAGTTGTTATGGCGGATGATGATGAGTTTGGAGCTTTGTTTGGCGGGCATGCGCCGCAACCAACAATCTTGCCGCTCCTTAAATGTATGTGTCGCATCGCTTTTTGCGCAGTGTTTTGCACCTTGTAAGGATCCTTAGGGTTTGAAATCGTTCTAATGAGTAATGCTTACGCCGCGCAGCGACACCAACCCCCGCTGACAAAAGAGGCAGCGTAGTCGAGGAAGACGATGAAGTATACGCTCAGGTACAGCAACGAACTTTCGCCAAGTAACATATGCCTCGAAACTGGGGTGAAGGCATGCGGGTCGCACATGCTATGGGCGCTATGACGTGCTCCCCAACCCTCCTTGCTATGAGCCCCTCGTTCCCCATTTCCTTCACCTCTTCCCTTTCCCTCAGCTCTTCGGCCCGGTCCCTGTGGCCCCCCTGCCGCCACGCTACGTGCCCGCCAAGCCCGTCATGCCAATCGTGGTGCGCCAAGCCGTCGCACCGCTGCCCCGGCCCCCGCCTGCAGCCCCCCTGCCCGGTGAGCATGCAACGGCGTGTAACCGAGCCACATCACATCGCTATACTCTCTGTTGCACCTAGCACGGAATTAGGGATACCGGTAGGCCGCGCCCCCGGGGGCCCTGCACGACAGCCACGCACACACCCCTCATGAGGCTGTTGCTCCCTTTCCCCCTTGTACGGCATGCGCAGGCGGTCGCAGGGGTGCTGCTATGGCAGCAGCTGCGGCGGCGGCAGCGGCGGACGGCCCTGTGGCGGCGAGCGGCGGAGCAGCAGCAGCAAGCGGGCCGGAGGACCAGCCGGGCTCCGTGGAAGCGGCGGGTGCAGCTGACGGCGGCGTGGCGGCTATGCAGCAGCAGCCGCAGCCGCCCATCGCGCAGGTTTGGGCCGGGGGGGTGTACCGGGGTGTGTTGGGTAGTGTCCGAGCAGAGGGATGCATGCAGTTAGGGTTGCTCGAAGGTTCCTTGGATGTCCTGGTTGGCGCTCCGCAAGCGGTATCATGGAAGCTAAAAAGCCGCGCAACCACATAACAAGTCGCGCACCCGCTCCCCCCCGAACCCCCGACCCTGTTGATCGCTCCAACCCACATCAGCTCGCCGCTGAGGACGAGGATGACGACTTCGAGGTGACGCTGGAGGAGCTGGACACGGCCGCCATGGCGCAGCAGCAGCAGCAGCAGGCGGGGGGAGGAGGAGGAGCGGCAGGCGGCGGGCAGGGGGCGGCGCCCGGCGGCGGGGGGCTGGGGCAGCAGCGCATGGCCTCCGCGGGCAGCGGCGCTCTGCCGGGACTGGGAGCGGGACCCCCCGGGGGGCACCAGGGGGCGGATGCAGCGGCGGCGGCGGGGGGAGCAGCTGGGGCCAAGGGGGTACCGGGGCCGCGGCCGCCGCCTGGAGGGCCGCCTGGGGGCCCAGCGGCGCCGGGCGCGCCTATTCCCGGTGAGTTGGAGCATGGTCCAACGCATCTACGCTGCGTCTGGTGGACGAAAGGCTTGGTCCTCATGCCGTTTAGAATGTGCGCTAACAGACCCCCCCCCCTGTACATTGCAAGCAACACCACACCCCCTGCTCCCGGTGCTCGCAGGCCCCCGGCCGCCTCCGGGGCCTCCCCCGGTCCCCGGCGCCCGACCCGGGGCTCAGTTCGGACCCGGGCCGCCGGGCGGGAGGCCCTTCCTGCCGCGCCAGCCGCAACCCATCTACGGTGAGGCATCGTAGGGGTCGGAAGGGGCCGAAGAAACAAAATGGGGGTGCACCGGGGAACGGTCCTGACGACTGCTGTTACCGTGGCCAATGGATCAGCCTGCTCCTCCACTGCCTCTCCATCATCCCCCGTCGTCACTCTGCCCCACCTCAACACGCCTCGCCCGCTGCCTCCCCACCCTTCAACCCAGGCCTCAACTTCCGTTACAACATCGAGGAGGCCGCCTGGCCCACGGAGGCTCGCCCCGACCAGGCCATCAAGCTGCCCAAGCAAACCAGGGTCACACCGGAGGTGTGTGTGTGGGGGGGAGAGGGCGGGGGCGGGGGAGGCTGAATGGCTGGGGTGCAACATGTAGGCAGCAGCGCCGGTTGCTTTGTCCGTCGCGGTGATACATACCGCCGTCGTCGCGGCTGGCGCTGCTTGGCACGCAGTCTTGCAGTTGAGGTGACGTAGCGCTGGCTTTTTAAGCCAATGTTGCCGGTAGTTTGGTCGGTTTCCTGTTGCTGCATTTTCTGCTTAAGTCGCCGCCCTTGCCGCCGCTTGCCCCGACCGCCGCCGCCGCCGCTGCTGTACCCCTGGCCGCAGGAGTACCGGGCGTTTCTGTCGCTGGGTCACGGCGAGATCTTTGAGCTCGATCTGGACAGGTGGGGCGGCTGGAGTGGCTGTCTCGGGAGGAGCCCAGCGGGGGAGGGGTTGGAGGGGACCGGACACCGGCACCGAAAGAAGTCGCCACCTTGTACTCTCTGCCGTACGTCTGACCACTCCAGCGTCATTGCGTGCGGCACCCTGCCCACTTCCCCCCAGGATTATTCCCCACGAGGCCCTGTGGCGCAACCCCTCCGCCAACCCGGGTGACTACTTCAACTACGACATGAACGAAACCTCTTGGCGCCACTACTGCGCCCGCATCCGGACCTACCGGGACACATTCACCTACCGCAACAAGATCGCCGTCCTAGACCCGGCGGCACTCGCGGCGGCGGCGGCAGCAGCGGGAGGAGGAGGCGCGGGGCGAGGTGGCGGGGCCGCCAGCAGCGATGGGATCGACCCGACGTTGCCGGCGGAGGTGATTGCCGCCCTGAAGGCGGCGGCACGCAGCCGCAACAGGGTGAGTCGGGGAGGGCGCCGGCTGCGTTAGGGGAAGGCCTCTGCGGCAGGGCCACATGGGCCGGCGGCGGAAAGGCGCGTGTTTCCTGCTGACGTCGCGTCTTTTGAAGTGTCGCAACCTGCAACCTGCGGTCTTGTTGTAAAGCCCGGTACGGCCCTTGCGTACGTTGCTGTGCTGCCTTTGCCCTAGCCGTTGTCCACCACCACCACCGCTACAACCCCCGACACCTGGCCATGCATGCCCCCGCACACCGCCGCACCACAGGACCTCGCGTTTGGCGGCCCCGAGGGAGCTGAGGGGCTGGAGGGGCTGGGCTTTGGCGACGTAGGCGCAGCGGGGGACACTGGGGGCAGCGGGTGGGACGGTAATGAGGGCGGGTACGGGCTGTTGTACGGCAAGGGAGCTCGGGAGCCGCCTCGGCGCCGTACGACACCTCGGCTGGATCCAGATGTCATTCTGGCGCTGACAGAGGTGGGTGGGCGGGCAGGCGGGCGGCACGGGTGGACTGTACGTATTCGGAGGAGGGAAGAGGGGGGATATGCCGCGAGGTGGGGTGGGATGGGGCAAGATGCGGCATGGATGGTGGTGGAGGTGGAACAGCATGGTTGCTGTCCAGTTCTGGTTTTGCTGCTAACTGCGGGTCAGCCTTTCCTCCGTAGGCAGTTGAGGAGGACGAGGTGGTAGAGGAGGAGGAGGAGCCACCTGTGCAACCGCCAGGCGAAGAGACGCAGCAGCAGCAGCAACCGGCTGAGCAGGCGGCGACCACAGCAGCGCCTGCCGCAGGTACTGCCCCTGCCATTGCCTCCGCTGGGGGCGAGGGTGAGGGTGACACCGCTGCAGCCGCCGCCGCCGCTGCTCCTGCCGGCGAGGGTCAGGAGGAGTCCGCCCCGCAGACCGCCGCGGCTGCAGACGCGCCGCTAGGAGGCCAGGAGGCAGCCCCCGCAGAAGCGGCGGAGGCAGGCCAACAGGCTGAGCAAAAGGAGCCCTCAGCGCAGCCTCAGCCCGCCCCTGCTCCTCTACCTCGGCAGCAGCAGCAGCCCCGGCGGCGGGTAGTGCGGCTGCTGCCGCTGGTGAATGCGGACTACGACGAGCTGGCGGCGCAGCAGCTGCCGGGGCCGCCGCCCAAGCGCGCGAGGAGCCCCGTGCATGGCGAGTCGCAGGGGAGGGAAGGGATGGCGGGAAGGAAGGAAGATGAAGCCGGGTGATGATGCGTGTCCATGTGGCTGCGGGCAACAGGTTAGGGCCCTGTGCCTCCTCTTTTAGCTCTCCTACCTCCTACCTCCTGCACTTCCCTCGCCTACGCCTCACTTCTCTTCTGTGCTGCGGTTATCTCACCCTCTCGCCGGCCTCACGCCGCACAGGTCACGGCCGGCGGCCGGAGGGTGCTTCCCAGTTGTGGGACTCCGAGGACGGGTCCGGCCCGGGAGCAGGAGGCCGCGGTCAGGAACGAGAGCGAGAGCGCGGTCGGGACCGGGAACGAGAACGGGATCGGGACCGAGGGGAGCGGGATCGAGATCACAAGGACTGGAGCCGTCGTGACCGGGACAGGGATCGGGACAGGGACAGGGAACGGGAACGCGACCGGCGTCAGGGTTCCGGGGCAGGCGGCGGCGGTGCGGTTGGCGGCATGCTTGCTCCGCCACCCATGGTTCCCGTCATGCCGCCCATCGCCATGGGTGGGGTGCTGCCGCATGCCATGGACCCGCGGGACATGCTCGGACCCATGGGTCACCTGGACATGGGTGGCGATGTTTACCTGGACGGCGGCGGGGGCGATGGTGATGACGACGATGATGCCATGGAGGGAGGCCAGCCGGGGGTTGTCATGGGCGGAGGTGCTGCTGGTGTTGCCAGCGTAGGCGGCGGAGGCGTGGGCGGAGGTGCCCGGGGCATCACAATAAAGTTGGAGAGCATGCCGCCGCTGGCCGCAGTGCAGCAGCTACCCGGGTCGCCTTTCAGGCGGTTTGGCAGCGGAGATGGCAGCGGCCGCAGGTGAGGGGGGGAGGACAACGGCGATTGGGGGTGCTTGCAATCCGTGCTTCATGACATAGGGGATAGGGCACATCCTGACCCCTTTGCTCGTGCATGTATGCAGGCCCGAGGTGCTTGGCGGGCAGGGGGGCCCAGGGGTGGCCCCGAAGCTGGAGCAGGAGCAAGCGCCAAAGGGGTAAGGGTCCGGAAAGGACATCGGGGCTTCACCAGGAGTAGGGAAAATGTGGCGGGGGGTTCTCTTTCGTGGCATGCTCAATCGAGTAACAGCCTAGAGGCTGTACACCTTCACGTACAGTACGATTACTAACCCCGGCTCCGTTGCCCCCCACCAGGTGGAACCCCCTCGACGAGGCGGCTGCTTACGGGGATTTCGGCGGCGGCGGCGACTACTACATGGACGACGGCTACGGCAATGAAGACGACGAGGCGTCTTTGGACGAGCAGAAGCAGCAGGCGCATGCCAATGAGGACCAACAGCAGGCGCAGGTGCAGCAGGTGCAGCCACAACAACAACAGGAGCCTACCGCCATGCCCTCGCTGCTGCCACAACCCGACGAGGGCGGCTCCGTCCATACTCGCACCAATCCGGTCAAGGACGAGGGCCGCTCGCATGCGGCGGCTGGCGCGGAGGACGTCACCACGTCAACTGCGGCAGCAACAGCGGCGACCGGAGCTGCAGCGGGCGGCCCTTCTGGAGGTGCAGCGCCGCGCAGCGGAGGCGCCGGCCTAGAAGACGAGGGCACAGGCGACGCCGATTTCGCCTTCCATGGCGGTTCCGCTGCCGGTGGTGGCTCCATGAGTGTGCTGGACTTGCTGAACCCCATGGCAGCCATGGGGGGGCTGGCGGGCATGGGCGCGCTGGGGCCCATGGGTGCCCTGGGCGCCATGCAGGGGCTCACCATGCCTGGCCTGCTGCCCGGGAGCATGCCGCCGCTGATGGCAGGGGGCATGCTGGGGCTCGGGTCGCTCATGGGAGGGCCCGCACCGGCGGCGGGGGCAGCAGTCACCACGCCGGGAGGTGCAGGCACGGGAGCAGGAGGGGCTGCTGCAGTTGGTAGTGTGAAGACGGAGGGATCCGGCGGACAGCGCTCAGGACGGGAGAGTGGGCGGCCGGAGAGGTGCGTGGAAAGGGAGGAAGCTCCTGTACTGGGGGCGGAACATAGGATGCGAGCTCAGGATATGTGCTTGGGTATGTGTGGGTTCCAAAATCAAAGTTGTGTTGGGCATGCATGATTACAGGCTGCTTGAGGGGCATATCAGCTGCTCCTTCATCTTCCGGTGCTTGTCATAACCGCGGCCTTGCTCCTCCTTTCGCCCTATTGGCCCTTCAGGTCACATGGCGCCCACCGCTCTCGCTCTAGGTCGCCGCGCGCCCGCCGCTCACGCTCACGTTCCCGGGATCGCGCCACACGACGCGAGCGGCCCCGTAGTCGCAGCCGCGACCGGCGTGACAGGGACCGCCGCAGCCGTAGCCGCGAACGTGAGAGGGATAGGGACCGGGAACGTGAGCGGGAGCGGGGAGGTGGGAAGGACCGTCGGCGGAGTCGTAGCCGTGAGCGAGAACGCCGCGACCGAGACAGGGACAGGGAGAAGGATAGGCGTGACAGGGATAGACGGTAATGAAAGCTGCTAGGGTGTTGTGCCGGTGCTTGGGGCTTGTCACGTGAGCGCTGAGCTGCAGACTCGTTTTACCAACTTGGGCAAAAGCGTGGCTGTGCCATGAATCGTATCCCCGACGTGCTGTAGCGAAGTGTGACGTTGTAAGACGGTTACATGCATGCTCAAGTGTTAGGTTGTAAGTGGTTATGCCTCGAGTCGATGCCCGAGTATCTATACACCATGCAACCGGATATGAAGAGATACCATGCGCAGATAAGGCTACATCGCTAAAAAAAGCTCTACTCGATAAATCGGCTTCCTTAAGTTATGAAACAAAGCGCCTGGAACAGCCGGTAATGCCGGTCGTCAAGAAACATGGACAAACAAGTGATGTCAGGGTCGCAAATTTTCATACCGCAGGGGTAAACATATCCGTTCCATCGAGGGCTTGCTGCTATGACCGCATTCGATAGCAGAAACATTAGTGGGAGCAGTAGTACCTAAGTGTTTGCATGGGTCCCCAGCCTCCAGATAACAGCATGAGCATGTTCTTAACGCTCAAGCAACAAGTTACGGGCTGCCCCTCAGCACGCCGTGCCCATTCCACACCATGCGTCGGTTTTTCACTTCGGTACTGCCCACTGGTGTTATAGCCCATATCCTTGGCTTGTCATTTGGCAACGCATGCAGCCCCATTGCCAAATGTGTAGCCAATTTTGTCCCTACAAGCTAGGGGCCCCAACAGCCTCTACACGCACAGCAGCTGCATCAGGGATTCCACATCCGTGTCCTCGGCAGCCTCATATCCAACCCCACGCTCCTCCACCGCAGCGGCCGCAGCAGTACATGCGCCAGCCTCGCCGCAGCCGTACACATACTCGGCGGGCATTACAGGAGCACCAGCCGCCACCGCAGCAACGCCGAAATCCGCCTCGGTCGCAACCTGTGCGGGTTGGACATCAACCTGAGCCTGAATCCAGGCGCGCTGCAGCTCGGTGCGCATCTCCAGCTGCGACCGGCGGACCGCGACGCACGTGTAGAGGTTGCCGTCCTCCGCCATGCACTCAATCAGCTCCGCCGAGTCGCCGTACACATCGGTCAACAGGTAGTACATGTTGGAAACGGCGTCAAGGACCAGGTAGGAGCCATCTTCGTTGCCGTACACCATATCGTACTCGACTACTGGGTCGCTGTCTGCTGTGCTGGCGGGGAGCAGGGCGAGGTTGCCGGCGGTCTCGGTCTGGGGGCCCACGCAGGCGCCCTGAAGCGCCGATAGGGGGTCGGTACGCATGGTGGCGCTGGCCTTGGTGGGAGTGAGGGCGGGGAAGTCGTCTCCGCTGATTGCTAGTGAACCGGCGCGGCTTTCGAAGCCAGAGTGGACATCAAATTCTTCCATGTCCCTGTGAAGTGAGGGCGCAAGGCAGGCGGCGGTTGGTACACGACCAGATACCGTACAAACATTTCTTAACTACGGAGGCTGACGGAATTGAAACCGTCATATTAGCTCTGAACGAGGTCCTTGGCGAAATGAACTACGCTCAGTCCATGAATGGCTCCCTACCTGGCAGTGGAAGGAGATCCAATAGAGTCGCAGTCGGAGCTGGTACCGTCGTTGCTGGGAAACGTCGTGGCCGAAGACTCGCCATCCAGCCGTTTGCGTAACCTGGCGCTGAACTTGCCCCCGCTGTTCCGGGTAGTATGGGCCAACTGGAAATAATTCAGGTCCTTGCCCAAGCCTGCAGGAGGAGCACCAAGGTTGGTATGCCACAACACGTGCAAACAAAGTGTAACATGGGGTTAAAGAAGGTTTGCCAGAAAACCAAAACTGGAACCGTGTTCCCGCTGGCTAAACATTGCGATCGTGCAGGCTCTCTGCTCACCTGGGGCCTTGGCAAAAGCGTCCCAAAGCGTGGCAGCGTGCGGCGTCCGTTCCGGCTCCTCGTCGTTGCCCTTATCCGATTTTGCGTTGCCGCCGACGCCGACGCCAACTCTTGACTGCAACCAAGCCCCGGTGATCACACGTGCGGCGCTGTTGTTGACATTGTTGTTGCTGCTGTTAGCCGTCGGGTTCTTGGCCTCGGCCCGGAGCTTGGCCACCTCAGCGCGCAGGGCCTCACGCGTAGAAAGGTTCTGGATGGGTCCGCTGAGACCAGGAATGATGCGCTGCTCCTGGTTCGCGGGCTTGAGCTTATCAATGTTGACAGGCCGGATGTTGTTATTGCCCGTATTGGTGATGCCGCTGAGGGGCTTGGCAGCCTTCACCGCCACAGGCTGCTGTGCGGCACCTGCACAGCAACACAGGACAAACTTATTGCGGAAGGGGCGATAGCAAGAACGAGCACAGGTACATAGCAATGCTAAGAATAAAACCAGGTAGGCTAAAGCGAACTGAAAGAAAGGAACGGTTTCCGGGACAAAGGTATGTCGTCCAACCTTACCCTCGGGCGCTGCACGCTTCATGGCAGCGATGGCGACCTGAGCGCCGGCTTTGGGCTTGGGGGCAGCAGCTGCAGGCCGTGCCTTGGCAAGAGCTGCGTTAGCCACAGCTGCCTCCAAACGTGCCTGCTTCTTCTTTGGGTTGCTTGGAAAGAATGTCTGTGCGAAGGAAATATACAAAGGTCAGTTACCTTGGACCCATCCATGTGAAGGGTCCCAACTGCTGAAAACACCTCTTGCATGAACTTACGTGCATCTTGCAGACGTAACCAGGGCATGGCTTGCCGTTCGACAGGATTGCGGGACACGGAAAGCCGGTCTGTGGGGCCGAACGCGGACGCGGGCAAGTGCTTTAGGAAGATGTGTGGGTCAAACCAAGGCACCGGGCCCGCTGACACGCTAGCCAATGTCATCGACCGGTTACCGCTACAAAGCTTACGTCAGCGAGGCATGGGACTTACGCAGCGGTCTTTGCTATACTTGGTCCGCTTCAGGTACGCTGCAATGCAGTCCTCGTGGTACACGCGTCCGGGGCACGACTGGCTTGGGCAATCAATCTCCCTGGAAGTAGCATACCAGCAAGGTGGGCCTCGTCGCTTTACTCTACGAAGAGTGTCTAACATGATGACAACCCGCTAGGGATTGGTAAACTTCCCAAACAAAAATGGAAAAATTGGCTTTGCTAATGGGAACTTCAAAGGCGACACCAGGCATGAAATTAAAGGCCGCGGCTGACGAAAAGGCATAGCGCGCGAACTGACGAGTCCTGCACAGAGCCTGGGCGCTTTTACACAAGGTTACCTACCGCCTGTATTCTTGCTCTGTAACGGTTAAGTTGCACAAAACGCAGGTTCCAGTTGCAGTGGCCATTTCTCTCTGGAAAACCCCAAAGCACAGGGCAGTCTGTACGTCGCCAAGCGTCTACGTCGTGATGACCAAACACAGGCGAAAACAGCTTCTGTAGAAAGAAAGGAACGCGTAGGGAAGGCTAGAGGATATCGCAACTGCCGTAAGCAATGACGTATGGTAAAAATATGTTTATCTGTTAAGCGCTTTCCTTAGCCCTTGTAATCAGTATATACCTGTGTTGTAGGCAAATGGGTTTTATAATAAGCGGTCTTTTCATGTACGGCTATCATTGTACGACATCTCGCATGGGAAGGTGCAAAAAGACCTTTCAGCAAACCATTCTAACTAAAAGGAAAGTCCTTCCTGTTTCTTACGCCATAGTTTACCTTAACGCGTGTTTGGCATATGGGCCAGAGCGCTACCCATGCCCCTCGGCGCGCGCATGTTGTGGTCACTGCCTGATAGTTCAACCTGATCCACCCGAGGCAGCTACTTGTTGGCACTATAAAATGTCATTTGGGTCGGTCTGACTTTCTGCTGCCACAGGCTGCAACTATAGGCCGACACACACACACACACACGCACACGACGTTGCTTCTATGTTAAGCTTTGACGCTGGTCGCACTGAACGCAACCGTAAATGTGGGGTAGCGGTCACATGGATGGCAGAACACGGACCAATCTGGACGTACACCACCCCCCCTTGAAACCCCGCTTTCACGTTCATGGGCTACGTCAACGTAGCACCCGAACGTAGCCCTATGTTGTCGTGTGACCGGTCATGTTCACGTTGATTTTTCGCAAACGTAACGTAAAACGGTACACCGTGTGACCTACACACCTGTTGGAACTAACACCCCAGACATGTGCGCACTAAAAGACATGCCAGGCGCCGTAGGCTGCACCACGGCCAGAACCCTTCCGACTACATCCCAGATCTCACCAGCGTTTTTTTTCCGTTTCCAAGGGGGTATTTTTTATCGCTGCTAGAGCGATAGAAATCGGGCCTGGACAATCGCTTATCGCTTTCCCAACCAGCCAAGCCGAGGGGTTTCGAGGCTTATCACTTCATAAGGCGGCCTGGTCACACGTGCCCATAGCCCCCTAAACCCCAATGTGGAGGCGCTTTTCACTGGTCCCAGTGCCCTCCTGGACCCAAATCCCTAGCATGTAGAGGGTCTGACAGGGGGTGTGTGAGCGATGAGATACCATGGCACAGACACCTTATCGCTTTCTCACGGCCCTAGGACCAATTATTTATTGCTCAAAAAGCGATATATCGCTAAAAAAACACTGGATCTCACCCAATCCCTTCCCGGCGGATCCGGTGCCGAAAGAGCAGCCAAGCATGACCAGCAACACTAGATGCCAAGGAAAACCTAACTGCTGCCCTATACTCCCTTTCGTAAGGGATTGCCTAGTGCACCGGCTCCTCCTTCCCACGCCCGTCGGACGCCGTTACCACCTGCCGTACAACCCGCGCCACCTCGCTCCCATACTCCAGCCGGCGCATTTGCTCCAACGGCCAACCGCTGCCGTACGTCTCCTTATCCGCCAACACCGCCCCATTATACTGCGCCCGCACCCTCTGCACCTCCTCAAACGCATACGCCACCCCAGGCAACTCCGCAGCCGCCACCTCCTCGCAAACCGCCTGCACCTCCTCCGCCTCCCTCGGCCCCGCACTCCGACCCACCTCCCCTCTCCCTCCTCCTCCCTCCCTACCTCCTCCCATCACTCCGCCAAGCCAGCTCCACGACCTCCTCGACGGCTCCTTCCCCCGCCGCCACTGCCCCGTCCCCGCACCCCCGCCCGCCAGCCTCCGCGCCACCTCCCGCTGCACCGCCTCCTCGAACTCCCGCTGCGCCGCCGCCAGCTCCTCCCGCAGCTCCAGGGAGCGCGGCCGTACCGCCTGCGCGCCCATGCTGCGCCCCATTGCCGCCATGAGGGGATCCACGCGGTAGAACTGCGAGTCGTGCCGTACGACGGAATCCAGAGGCTTGCCCTTGAGCTGTTGGGGAGAAGGGCGGCGGTGAGGAAGGTGGGGGAGGAACGTAGGGAAGGACGTATACCGTTAGTTCAATCGTTGAGAATGCGGGTTTTTCACCACAGCGAATAGAGTTATGGAGGTCGGCGGTTAAACGCTCGTGCGTGTCCATTGTGTAATGCGACGGCTCGTATGAGGGAGGGCACAACTGGAGGATAACCCAATTCGAGGGGTGGTACCACGTACACATGAGCGTGCCACTCTTGCCCTGCTCCACAGTCATATTTTCCTAGTGCCATGGAATTCCCTGCGCCCTGCTGTACCTTCAAGTTATCCAGCTCGCCTCGTGCCACGCTGTCACGGATGCGCCGCTCAACCATGGCCTGCAGTGACCCATGGGTCAGCTCGGTCAGTACAAGCGCATCTGACCCAGATCAGATCTAAGCCGTTTCGCTCTCCGGGCATGACCCATAACTGAGAACCCCAACCGACCGTTGATGCCTGCCTACCTCGAAGCCGCTTTCTCCCATAGTGACAGGCTGCCAGTTACTGAGGCTCCCAGCCTCGTCGTCAAGAACCGGCACTCCCAACCCAGATGACAAAGAGGTGCCTACCCCCCCGCCCAGGGGGCTGCGTGCGTAGGCGTTAAGGTCGGCCCTGCCTCGGCTGGGGTGCAGCTCCTGCGCTGCCGAGTCGGCGGACGCACCTCCTGCTGCTGCTGCTGGCAATGCTGGGCTTGTCTGGCTTCTTGCTATTGCTCCTGATGATGAGGAGGATGACGTCTGGCCTCCGGCCCCCACGTCGCTAGAGCTGCGATTTGGGTCGCTGCTAGCAGGCTGCTGCTGCTGGGGGTCGCCCCGCTGGCGGCGGTAGTCGCCTGCCGCCTTTTGAGCACGTGCCACCCGGACTTCTTCCTGATGCAGTTGCAGGGAGTGAGCAACTTTTTCACTGTTGTTATTGTGTAAGGACGGGTTGCTGTGCCGAAGTACAGGGTATGAAGCAGTACTTGACGACGTGGAGTGTGTAGCAGCAGCAGTTACACGACCCATGGGCCCACGGCACTACCGTACGGCTCGCAACAGGGGTCATGCCTAGAGACACCGCTGATGTACAAGAGCACACAGACTGAGCACGTTTCAAGCAAGTGCGTAATGTTCCGTAGCTGCAACCCTGTCCTGATGCCCAACAGTGGCAGTTGGGCGCTGCAGTATCCTGATGCACTCACTAAAATGCCACGGAGAAACGAGCGATCCATACTTGATTCGCCACTGCTGCTGTATGCTCGAGCTGGAAGGGTGAAGGGTGCGATCCAACGGAGACAGCTGCTCCATCCCACCTCAACTGCGGAAGCCCCCATGTCACTGCGCGATAAGAAGCGCCGCATGCAGGCATTCTTCTGACATAATAATGATAGCCTATCCATACTTTGCTGCGCTTAGGGTGCCTGTTTGCGCTCCAAGACTGTACCCCTAGGCATACATGGTCCGTAGAGCACAAATGCCAGCGCAGAAGCTGTATTTTAGAAGCGCCTCACCACATCCGTTCATAGAGTTGATGGAAGGGTAAAACGTCCCTTGCCGCACCCTTCCCATAATTCACAACACCCAAATTCGTACACCCTGGCCAGCCCGGAGCCCCGGCGCTGGGGCCCTTTCTCAACCAATAAACCTGTGCATGTTGAAAGTGTGTTACTATTGGTAGGGTGCGGGACTAGTAATTTGCAACTAAGCACTCCTACCCTTACGCATCAATTCCATTTGACTCTTCCTGACTCTTGGTATACAATAAAAAATAATTGGCGTACCATGTCGGAGGCACAGCTAGATTCAAAATCGTTTCGTTTTGAAAGCGTGTTACAGCCACAATGGTCGCATTCCGAATCCCTGAACGAGCTTTCCCTGCCGGTTGTGGAAGGGGTAGCCTACAAGGGCACCCGAGCCGGCCTTGTTGTGCAACGTGGTGTGGCCCTGTTCAAGGACAGGTGCGTCTCTTGAGTTTTGCCTCGCAGTGTTGCGCGACCTTATGTGTCCGGTCACGTCCAGGTGCACCACCTACCATAACCCGGAGAGCAAAACTGACGCAAGAACATGGGTGCTTGACAAGAATTGCACTTTACTGCCTTCGACGACGGCGGAGTTGGTGACAAAGAGACGCGGGGTCCGACCCAAAGGGACATGGGCCATCACAGCTGCGGTCCAGGGTGTGGAGACGCACCTTGACCTGGTGAGCAGCTTCACATCGCCTGTTTCTCATGGCTAGCAACGTCATTACCTGTCTGGCAGGTTGCTGCGTACTACTCTCCTCCTTGTCAACCCATATGGCTCCAAGCTGCAGTCGAAAGCTACGAAACTGAGGTTTGCGTGCCCAGCATCTATGCTATTCCTTTCCGGCGCCGGCTTGGCACTTTAAGCGCAGACATAAACGCTTGGCAATCACATGCCTGGACATCAACAATTCCGCCGTACTGCCCTGCAGTACGAGGTGGCCCTCGACTGGCCCCCCAGCTGGGCCGCGGCGGGCTACACCTCGCTGGTGCTGGGCTTCCCCGAGCGGGCGGAGGCGGCGCAGTGGCACGAGGCGCTGGCGGGCGTGCTGGCGGGGCTGAGGGCGAGCAAGGGGTGAGGGGGGGCGTGCTGGCGGGGCTGAGGGCGAGCAAGGGGTGAGGGGGGGCGTGCTGGCGGGGCTGAGGGCGAGCAAGGGGCGAGGGGGCGTGCTGGCGGGGCTGAGGGCGAGCAAGGGGTGAGCAAGAGGGGGGGAGGACCTGAAGGCCGGGAAGGGAGGACTCCGCAGCCCTCCACAGTGGGTTACACGCGGCTTGGGCTCATGCCTGCATGCCATGGCAACCACTGACTCCAATCCTTGCCGCGGTCCTGTGCTTCCGCCTGCTGCGCCCCGCCCCAATGCCACCGCAGGCACTCCCGGCATGCCAGCGCCAACAGGTCCATTCCCGACCTCAGTGCCCCGTCACCGCCCATCTCCATCGCGGGCGCAAGGGCCGGGTCGGACGCGGCTGTCGTGGTTGCGACAGCAGCACCGGCGGGCGACCTGAAGGGAAACCCGCCAGCCCGGGTGAGGTCGGCCGGTGCTGCTGCGCGTTAGGGCTGGCGTTGTTTAGGTCGTCATTGCTGCACCAGTGTGAAGGAAGATGGTGATCTGGGTGGGCTTGTTGGAGCGTTTGGCTCCTTGCCGCTAACGCTTGCATCGCTTTTCCCCTGCATGCATGGATCCGTTCTCTCCTGTTTGGTTGCTGGGTGCCACATCGGTGCTTGCCTCCAGCCTAGCGGAACCGGTAAGCAGGGGTGAGACCGGCTGTTCGCAGTCATGGGCTGGGAGTGCATTCCGTGCGACTTCACGGCAAGGGTTGGCTGGCCTAGAAGCCTGCAATGCTGCAGACTTGGGATAAAAGGCAGCCCTGCTGGCATTGGATCCAGCCTTTTTATTCCAACCCACCCTCCCACTCCCTTCGCGTGGCATTGTCGCCCTACCTCTACTGCCAGTAGCTGACTTTAGCCGCTGCGTGCCATTTCTCTTGTTGTCACCTTGCAGCCACCAACACCAGCCTCGCCGCCGCCCCCCGAGCGGCGGCTGACGATGAGGAGCAGTGGGCGGATCCGGGCTCTGATGAGGAGCGCGGCGGCAGCAGCTCGGGCGAGGAGGACGAGGACTGTGCGCCTGAGCCCGATGAGCGCTGGGTGCCGTACAGGTGAGGGAGATCCCACGACATGGCATGCATTGTAACGGAAAGGGGTTCACGCGGGAGTGCCTTGCAGTAGAGCAGTTATGTACCTTGGCAAGACCTGATTTCGAGTTGCGTGTTGAGTGTTACTGAGGGCCTGGAATTTAGTTTTGTGGTTGCCGTGGCATGGAGGCTCTCATGGACGCTCGGCATATGGTTGGACGGCCGAGGTTGCTGCGGCGCCGCTGCGCTCGGTGCCATATCCGCACATTGCGCCCTGTCCGGGATGTGGGTCATCGTCTCCCGGACCCTTCCGCAACCCGCAGGCAGACCAACGGAGTGGCCATTTACCACCATGCGGCTGAGGGCAAGAAGGTGCGACATCCTTTCCTGTTCTGGATCTGCGGGGATGCACGTTTTCCTTGCTGGCGACGGACGTTGAACGGCCAGGGTCAAAGCGATGCCCTGGCCCAGGGCTTCAGACCTCGTCATAATAATGTCCTAGCATGCTGCGCTTCCCTAGACCCAAGGGCCATTCCAGGCTGCAAGTGGCTGGACAGGCCACTGACCCCGTGCTGTGCTGAAGCTCCTGTCCTGTCATCCTGACATGCCAGCATGTGTGTTTACTTGCGCCTGCCCAACCGCCATACATTCTAACTAACCGCCCAACCGCCATACATCCTATCCTTGTTCATTACTCTGCCGCCCCTGCACCCTCCCCCCAGTCCGGTGGTGGTGGCGAGTACATGGTGAGCTGCGTGATCCGCGGGCGGCCGCAGCGGGTGGCTGCCGCGCTGATGCGGCTGCGCGGCAACACCACCATCCTGGGGCCGGCGGAGCACGCGGAGGTGCTGCAGCGGGCGGAGGAGCAGGAGGGGCAGACCGGGACTACTGGAGGGAAGGGCAAGGAGGTAAGCTGAGGTGCAAACCCCGTCCGCTTGCAGGGCTGGCTGCATGTTGGCACTGCAGCTGCCGGCGCCATGGAAGCCTTCAGCGCAATACAGCTAGCTTTAGCTTACAACACATACGGAATGTAATCCTTTGCGACTGTCTGCTTGCCATTCCCCTCGCCCCAGATTCTTCGGCTGGTGCTGACTGCCTCGGGCTCCGCGGGCTGGTTCTGCGCGCCGCGGGAGATCATCCTGGAGCGCATGCGGAAGGTAGGGCGGGTTGGCTGGAGGTGGTAGGGTGGGGGGGCTGCAAAAGAGGCCTGCAGGGTGCAATTTTGGGGTACAAAAGGCGACACGCGGCGGATAAGAGCTCTATAGCAACTACGTGTCCTCAAACCTTAGTGGTGCTTACTGGTACTGGTTTCCATCACCCGCGTGATGCTCTGGACTGGCCGGGGCTGCTGCAGGATGAAGAGGACGGCGTCATCGTGATCATGTTCAAGTCCGTACAGCTACCCAACGAAGCCAACAGCAAAGGTGCGTCTCCGCCGAATGACGGGTTGCAACACGCGTGGAGTGGAGCATGTGCAAGCCCTGAAGCCACCGCATGTGCTGTCACCTGTAAGGCGGCTTACATGACCCCCTCCGCCGTCCTGGCATGCAGCTGGCACCGGTGGGCTGTTCGGCCGCGGTCTGTACCGGCGGCCTGTTCGCGGCGAGGTGGCTGGCGGCTACACCATTGCGGGTCTGCGGGGCGAGGGCGCCGCCTCGCGCGAGAGCCTCATCACCTGCATCGTGCGTGTGGACCTGGGCGGGGTGTGCGGGTCGCGCAGCTGGGTTCGCCCGCTGTCCTCCGCCGCCGGCTGGCAGGACAGCTTCCTGGACCGCATCCTCATGTCCGTGCACCTGCTGCGGGACGAGGTGGAGCAGCGGCGGTTCAGCGTGCAGCCATTCAAGCTGGTCGCATCGGCAAAGGCCAGGATAAACCAGGCAAGCAACCACGTGTCGAACGCCCGTTGTGAATGACCGTTACCGTAAAGCCTACGCGACACGCAGCGCCCGGGAGTCAGCATGCTCCATGTCAAGGTTTCATTAGGGAAATGCAGACATGCACTACTCGCTTGACTCTGCCTCCCTGTTGTACACCATGCAGGACGGTGTGCTAGTAGGCGCCTCCTCCTGCTCCCGCTCAGCCCCACCCGCCCGCATCATCTCCGTCTCCGCGGCCTCCGCCGCCGCCAGCAGCCCCTCGGGCGTGCTGGCCGACCGTCCGATGGCTCGCATGGCCACCCGCCGGCTTAGCAGCGGCAACCTGCCGGATGCACCTGGCGCCCCGGGGCACCGAGGAGCCTCGGCGGGCGGCGTTGCGGTGGGTCGGCGGGGCATGGGGAGGCTAGGAGGGTGCAGGGCCAAGGGAAGAAGTGGGGGAAGTGGATGTGGGCAGCATTGGTCGTGACACTGTGCCATGCTACAGCCTTGCTTGTGGCTGCATGGCTAGGTAACGAGTGGCCAACGCTTCATGGCAGCCCTAGGTCTGCCTCCCGACCTTGACCCAATCTTGTTGGCCACCCTCCTCTGCCTCCCTCTCACTCCCTCTGTCCTCTTACCCTCCAACCCCGTGCAGCCCATTTCCGAGGAGGGCTCCTCCGCCTCCCCATCGGGCGGTGCTGCCGCCTCCGCCGCCCCGGACTCCCCCCGCTTCACCCTGGATGTGCAGCACGTGCTGTCGCTGGCCTCCATGCCGCGCAAGTACTGGCGGGAGATCCACGTGCCGGGAGCGGACGCGCCATTCAGCGTGAGTGGGGGCCGACTTGCTGGGCCGGAAGCTTCACGGGAACCTGGTCGTCTCCTTACCCCTGCCATGCATCCCGGAGTCACGTCTGCATGGACCGCTTGCAACGTGAGTGGACCGGGCTTTCGGGCGATGTGCCCTTCCCTGGCCTCCGCAGGTCCGCGGCGCCACGTACCTGAAGGACAAGAAGAAGGTCCCCGCCGGCCAGCCCGCGTTCAGCCTGGGGGCGGTGGAGATGGTGGTGCTGCCGCCGCCCGGCACGCCGGTGGCTGGCGAGACGGAGGGCACACGAGGTGAGGGCTCGCGTGAGGAGGCTGAAGGACGCTTGCTGCCACTGCCGCACCGTTGCATACGAAGGGCACCAGCACTGTGGCCGTAACGGCGCTGCTGCTCATCCGCTTACGTCTTTCCTAATGTGCCCCCCCATTTTTTACTCATTCTTGCCAAACCCGCTGCTGCGGTTGCCGCACCGCACTGCAGGCGCGCTGAGCCACGTGGGGCGCTTCATCCCCTCCATCCGCCAGGGCGGGGCGCCCTTCTCCATCATCATCCACCTGGTGAGGCCCGGGCCTGGGCGGTGCAACTCACGCACCTATGCTGCCTGCTGTAGGAGGCTGGGGGCTTGCTCTAGGGTACATGGGCGTCTTTTAGTATTTCGAGTGCTTCCGCATGGTTTGATTCCAATGACATCCTTACCGCGTCTGGCCAACTGACCCATGGGTCACCTTATGGTTTCCCGCTGCCCCGCTGCCGCGCCTTTCCTTCTCGCAGATCGTTCCCGGTTCGCCCATGTTGGGTCTGGTGGCTGTGTTTTGCTGCGAGCAGCACCCCTCCATCCTGGGCTCCCCCCCGCGCAGCCCCATGGATGAGAAGCACGACTGGCAGCCCTTCGACTTCGTGCTGCACAAGTGGGTGGGGGGAGGGGGAACAGCAGCTGGAGAGTAGGGGAGACGGCATGAAGTGATGGACCCTTGGGAAGGTCTGGAAACGCTTGCCAATGCTAAGTGTGGGCTCACCTCCCCCCCAGGTTCGTGTACGGCAGCGACGAGACCCGCAACCGCATGCTCAAGATGGTTCCGCACATCGCGTCCGGCTCCTGGATGATCAAGCAGAGCGTGGGCAGCACGCCCGTCATCCTGGGCAAGGCGCTCAAGACCAGCTACCACTGCACGCCCACCTACATCGAGGTGGACATCGACATATCCGCGAACAGCGTGGCAAACTACGTCACCGGCATGGTGCGGGGAGCCACGGCCTCGCTGGACATCGACCTGGCCTTTGTGCTGGAAGGTGAGGAGCGGTGCGGCGGGGGAGCTGGACTGGAGTTGGGTGGGAGCAGCTTCTCGCGGTTGCAGGGGCCGCCTCCCCTCACAGCAGGGATGCACGCATGGATGCCGCGGAACCCCGGGGGCATATCTGTATAGACCTCTCCTGACCCTGCTAGCGTTGCACTTCCCGCCCCGCTTGCCCTGTTTCCTTCCCGCCTCCATCCACCCTATGCGCTCCCCTCTTCCTCCCCCTCCCCCCCCTCCCATCCAGGTACCGCCCCCTGGGAGCTGCCCGAGTGCCTGCTGGGCGCATTCCGGCTCACGCGGCTGGACTGCAACGCCGCCGCCACTCGGCTGGACTACAGCCGGGAGCTGCCGCTGTCGTCACCGCTGGGGGGGCCCGAGCTGTGAGGGCAGCCGCCTGCGAGGCAGGACGGCGGGGCCGATCTGCTGGGGTGATGGGAGCTCCCGGGGGACGTGAGACCGAAACTCTGCTGAAGATGGCGAGGTGCTCAGCTGGCGACGTGCTGCCGGGCGACGGTGGCAACGGAATGTGACGTGTAACGGTTGGGCGAGCGAGGTGGAGAGATCGCCGGCAGGGGACATCTGCGATTATCAATACCAAGCGGGTGCTAGGCCGTGGACGCTGTGTGAAGTTATCGGTACAAACTTGTGACTTGCGGTTATGCTCGAGCATTGCGCGCTCTAGTTTGGGACGGGTTGCAGGCCACAGCAGAAGGACGTCGGAACTGGAGACGAGTGATCTGTGAATAGCCGGACCTTTTGCAGTTTTGGTGGCTTAGCGCCAGCCGGCGGATTGAGGCAAACTGCCGAGGCGGAGCTATTGCTGCCTTGGGGTGCTGTTTGGGGCCGTTAACAGGTGCTGCTTTAGTTGCTGCCATCGGTGTTCCCCAACCGCGAATAATGCTGCTCTGGGTAAAGAGCAACAGGAGGTGTACAGCTATGTACAAAGGCTTGGACGGATACGTTCTTTGCATTGGAAATAGTACTTAGTCATGCCTTTTTCTCTGTCGCCTTCCTTCCCCAAATACTCTTTGTCAATATCACTTGCATCGTACATATGAACATCATGAGGCTCGGCCACGTATGAGGCCCGCTCTGTGGCGATCCGCGAGCTTTCCGAGGCGTATGTGCGACCATTTCACCGCTGTTCTACATCCATTCGTACCCAATCTGTAACCTTACATTTTGTGTACATTCCAGGTGCCATCTGAACACATGCAATGCAGCAGTTGCTCCATTGACGCGTTGGTCCCCTGGCTTTGCGGACATCACAGCCACTCCTCAAAGACCCATGGGTCACTGCCAGGGCTAAACTGCCTTCCCAACCATCAGTAAACTGGCTTCACCAGCAAGGAGTGGCCCCGCGTAATGACCGGCCTGTATATGATCGGACCTCTCGTACGACATCGTGTACGGACGGAAAGGGCGTAGCCGCACAGTTGTGAGGGACACGCCCCCGGCGCCGCTGCTGGCGCTGGTGCCGCTCCAGCTGCTGGTGCTTTCCCGGCGTGCTAGTAGTTGCACCCATTGCCTGCGCCACTGAGTGCGTGCAGGTAGAGCTCCATCTCCAACCCCACAAGGTCCCACTCAATGAGTCACTCAATGAGTCAAAAACCCTAACATGCGGGTTCAGCACACAACAGATGGCACGACGCGCCACACCAACACCGCCCCGCATGTCTGGGAACCCTGACACCTTCAGTCACGTATGGTCAGCACCAACTGGGGGGAGGGTGGGGGACATATGGGACTGGATTGCTACGCCTTTCACAAGCCGCCCAAGACCCCTGGCCGTTGTGCCCTGCTGCCCGCTTGGACCGCTTACCCACAGGTGCCACGTGTGACATGTCGACCCTGCTTCCACAACCCCGCATCCTCGCCTCCCCCCGCCCACACACACACACACCCGCGGTATGGTTTCTCTTTTACCCCGCATGCAGGTCCGCGGCGCCACGTACCTGAAGGACAAGAAGAAGGTCCCCGCCGGCCAGCCCGCGTTCAGCCTGGGCGCGGTGGAGATGGTGGTGCTGCCGCTGCCTGAAGGACGACAGAACTGGATACGGGTGTTGACTGTGAATAGCTGTATATGCAGCTTTTATGCAGCTTAGCTGCGCTGTAGTAATGTAGCAAACAACCGAGGCGGAGGGGAGGATTAGCATATTGGGCCTGGAGTTGGAGCTATCTTCAGGTGCTGTCTTGGGCCATTGGCATCCTCTTTAGACGGTCGCTGCTTCATTTACTGCCATCCATTTAGGAACAGTGTTGTTCTGCAGAAAGAGCAACAGGAATTGTGGAGCTGGAACGGATGCTTGGGCGGAAACGTCCCATGCTTGGGCACCCGACATCATTAGTACTTATCATCCCTGCCATAATTCTCTGTCGCCATCCTGCCAAATCACCATTGTCAAGAACGATTACTAATTAAAGCAACTGGCAAAATTGTTAGGCGGGATTTTACATTCTGCGTTCTTTCCGAGGCCGCTTACGCGAAACCTTTCGCTGTCCTGTACCCAAACTATCCCAAACTGCAATCGCATTACGTTCAATAGGCGCCATTTAAGGATACAAGCATTTAGCTGTCGCCGTTGTTTAGCGCTGTGGACCGCTCCTGAATGCCCTGAGCCACTGCCTTTGTGGACAAGGCGGCCACGTCTAAAAGACCCCTGGGTCATTGTCTCTCTTTCACATATACCAACTGTAATCGCCTGTATTCAGACTCAACTGCGCAAATCGGCTCATCCACAAGGACGGCCGTCCGGCTCTCCAACTGCCTTCCTCACTCTCCGCCATGCCTCCTCCCAAGCCCCCAGCCTCCCCCCCTCCTCCTCCTCCTCCCGCCCAGCAGTCACCCCCTCCCCCCTCCCTCGCCGCCTCCTCCATCTCCTACCAGTTCACCTCCCTACACCACCAGCCCTCCTGGCCCTCCGAACTCGCAGCCGACGCTGCCGCCTCCGCCTCCGCCCCCGCCTCCACCGCTCCCCCCCTCCTTGAGGGCGTAGCCTACAAATCCACCCGCGTCCCTGGAGTGGTGGTCCGCCGGCGCATTGCGCTCCTCTCCAACGGCCGCACCCTCGCCACCTTCCACCACCCCGACCTCCCCGTCGCCCTGCAGCGCTCCCGGCACGTCACGCACTGGCACCTGGACCGAGGCTGCGCGCTGCGGCCCGCGACGGTGGCGCAGCTGGAGGAGAACGGACCCGTGGGTCGCGGCGTGCGGCCGGGTGGCACCTGGGCCATCACAGCAGCGCTGCAGGGCGTGGAAGCCAGCGTGCAGCTGGTTGGTGGGGGTGGGGGAGGTGATGGGTGCGGGAAATTGAAGATTGGATATCAAGTCCCTCCCTCTCCCGTTCTTAAGGTGGTTGCAGGAAGTACGAGATTGATTGTTTAATGACTCTCCCCTTCCGCTCTTTGCCTCCTGCTGCCATTCCCCCCTCCTGCAGTACGAGGTGGCCCTCGACTGGCCCCCCAGCTGGGCCGCGGCGGGCTACACCTCGCTGGTGCTGGGCTTCCCCGAGCGGGCGGAGGCGGCGCAGTGGCACGAGGCGCTGGCGGGCGTGCTGGCGGGGCTGAGGGCGAGCAAGGGGTGAGCGGGGGCCGTGCTGGCGGGGCTGAGGGCGAGCAGGGGGTGAGGGGGGGCGTGCTGGCGGGGCTGAGGGCGAGCAAGGGGTGAGCGGGGGCGTGCTGGCGGGGCTGAGGGCGAGCAGGGGGTGAGGGGGGGCGTGCTGGCGGGGCTGAGGGCGAGCAGGGGGTGAGGGGGGGCGTGCTGGCGGGGCTGAGGGCGAGCAGGGGGTGAGGGGGGGCGTGCTGGCGGGGCTGAGGGCGAGCAAGGGGTGAGGGGGGGCGTGCTGGCGGGGCTGAGGGCGAGCAAGGGGTGAGGGGGGGCGTGCTGGCGGGGCTGAGGGCGAGCAAGGGGTGAGGGGGGGCGTGCTGGCGGGGCTGAGGGCGAGCAGGGGGTGAGGGGGGGCGTGCTGGCGGGGCTGAGGGCGAGCAAGGGGTGAGGGGGGGCGTGCTGGCGGGGCTGAGGGCGAGCAAGGGGTGAGGGGGGGCGTGCTGGCGGGGCTGAGGGCGAGCAGGGGGTGAGGGGGGCCGTGCTGGCGGGGCTGAGGGCGAGCAAGGGGTGAGCGGGGGCGTGCTGGCGGGGCTGAGGGCGAGCAAGGGGTGAGGAGGGCCGTGCTGGCGGGGCTGAGGGCGAGCAAGGGGTGAGCGGGGGCGTGCTGGCGGGGCTGAGGGCGAGCAGGGGGTGAGGGGGGCCGTGCTGGCGGGGCTGAGGGCGAGCAAGGGGTGAGCGGGGGCGTGCTGGCGGGGCTGAGGGCGAGCAAGGGGTGAGGGGGGGCGTGCTGGCGGGGCTGAGGGCGAGCAAGGGGTGAGGGGGGGCGTGCTGGCGGGGCTGAGGGCGAGCAGGGGGTGAGGGGGGGCGTGCTGGCGGGGCTGAGGGCGAGCAAGGGGTGAGGGGGGGCGTGCTGGCGGGGCTGAGGGCGAGCAAGGGGTGAGGGGGGGCGTGCTGGCGGGGCTGAGAGCGAGCAGGGGGTGAGCGGGGGCGTGCTGGCGGGGCTGAGGGCGAGCAGGGGGTGAGGGGGGCCGTGCTGGCGGGGCTGAGGGCGAGCAAGGGGTGAGCGGGGGCGTGCTGGCGGGGCTGAGGGCGAGCAAGGGGTGAGGGGGGGCGTGCTGGCGGGGCTGAGGGCGAGCAAGGGGTGAGGGGGGGCGTGCTGGCGGGGCTGAGGGCGAGCAAGGGGTGAGGGGGGGCGTGCTGGCGGGGCTGAGGGCGAGCAAGGGGTGAGGGGGGGCGTGCTGGCGGGGCTGAGGGCGAGCAGGGGGTGAGGGGGGCCGTGCTGGCGGGGCTGAGGGCGAGCAAGGGGTGAGCGGGGGCGTGCTGGCGGGGCTGAGGGCGAGCAAGGGGTGAGGAGGGCCGTGCTGGCGGGGCTGAGGGCGAGCAAGGGGTGAGCGGGGGCGTGCTGGCGGGGCTGAGGGCGAGCAGGGGGTGAGGGGGGCCGTGCTGGCGGGGCTGAGGGCGAGCAAGGGGTGAGCGGGGGCGTGCTGGCGGGGCTGAGGGCGAGCAAGGGGTGAGGGGGGGCGTGCTGGCGGGGCTGAGGGCGAGCAAGGGGTGAGGGGGGGCGTGCTGGCGGGGCTGAGGGCGAGCAGGGGGTGAGGGGGGGCGTGCTGGCGGGGCTGAGGGCGAGCAAGGGGTGAGGGGGGGCGTGCTGGCGGGGCTGAGGGCGAGCAAGGGGTGAGGGGGGGCGTGCTGGCGGGGCTGAGAGCGAGCAGGGGGTGAGCGGGGGCGTGCTGGCGGGGCTGAGGGCGAGCAGGGGGTGAGGGGGGCCGTGCTGGCGGGGCTGAGGGCGAGCAAGGGGTGAGCGGGGGCGTGCTGGCGGGGCTGAGGGCGAGCAGGGGGTGAGCGGGGGCGTGCTGGCGGGGCTGAGGGCGAGCAGGGGGTGAGCGGGGGCGTGCTGGCGGGGCTGAGGGCGAGCAAGGGGTGAGCGGGGGCGTGCTGGCGGGGCTGAGGGCGAGCAAGGGGTGAGGGGGGGCGTGCTGGCGGGGGGGCCCTAATCCTTCACCCACCTCTACCTCTCAACCTTCACCTCTTCCCACGGCTCCTCCACCCGCAGTCGCTCCGAGCTGCCTGCCAGCGGCCCCGCCAGCGCCGCCGCCTCGCCAGGTGGCCAGCAGGGCTCCCCGCACAGACCCACCCCGGCTGCCGGGACCGCTGACAACGTCCTCGTGCCTGCAAGGCAGGAGGGGGCGGAGGAGGGGCTGCATGCGGCAGCCGGAGGGGCGGCTGCCGGCGGTGGGGGTGGCGGCAGTCCTGCGAAGGCCAGCGGCGGGGGCAGCCCTGGCAGCGGCGGGGGCAGGGGCAGGGGCGGTGGTGTCACACTACCGCTACCACCCAGCCGTACCAGCCCTGCCGCTGCTGGTGCTCCTGACGTGGCGGGTCCCCATGTGGCGCTGTTTGGGGTGAGAGGGGAGTTGGCAGGAGGGTGGGAAGGGGGTGGTTTGCCGCAGGGGGCTGGAGAGAGTCAGAGGGAGTAGGGGGGCAGCTCAGGGGGCCGATGACAGGAATGGCTTGTTTGTTTCGCATGCTGCTGGTCTACATGTCCTCATGTCGGCAGCGCATGTCGTGTCTCTCCTCCTGGCTCCTTACAAACCCCCCAGACCATGGCTTAGCAAAACCCGGCCGATCGGTCAAGCCGGTCAA